AACTGAGTAGCAAGCTGTATTTTCACGACGTTTTTTGCTCGGGTGTGCTCGTGATAGTAAATAGAAGTGTTGCGCCTTCCTGTACCTCGCGTACGGGCACGTCAAATTTGACACAGATAGTTTTGTGACTTTGAAATTAAAGTATCTGGAGAGCTGAAGTTTTCCGATTATAGCCAACGACCGTGTTTGGGCAGGTAGACGTGAAAGCAATTTTTATGTTCCTTTTATGTCTCGCTTGCGAAAACGTGAAACTTGATGTAAATTCTTAACCAGCGTAGCTGGAATACTGAGATTTCCTAAGCATGGCCCAAGATTCAGTTTGGGTGGGCATACGTAAAACAGCCTTCACTTTTCCCAAACACGAACGCGTGAAATTTAACTTAACTCTGCAACCGAGAAACTAGCGTGCTGAAATCATCTGGGGATGTCCCACGGCTATGTCTAGGCGAATGAGCGCGAAAACAACATTTATTTTTCTTCCTCATGTTCGAAGGCGTGTAATTAACTCCGTACCACAGCAGTTCAGGCGCCGAAATTTTCTGAGCTTGGGCCACGATAGTGTTTGTTGAGAATCCTCATGTTAATTTGTGACAGTGTGATGGCCGTTCTTAATTCGTTTAGCAGCATGTACCTTCTGGAAAACTGTTAATGTGTTGTCAAAATAATTCTAAAAACGCATACTGCTCTGAAAGGCTGATGCAGTAGCAATTGGATCTAAAGTGGCATTTATGATTTTTTGGTCTGGGTTTATAATATTTCGTAGAGGCATGCCTCGATTTTTCTCCCGAAGTACTGGTTTCTGATGTATCTTAATTTCTCGAAGGAGATTCCGACAGATCTGTACGCGTGCTGACGGGATTTCAAAATTTCTTTAGGTTCTTTCTACTTTTTTTGCCATTGACAAATTCTGAAGGTTACAACACGTTCAGCCGTCTATTGTCCAATTTTAGCTCAAATTCACTGTCGTCAGTGCGATCGAAGTTGACTGGCTAATCCGTGTGTATCGTAACAGCGTTACGCAGTGGCATTCGCCTCCAGTGAGGGTCAGTGGCGCTTGTTTATCTCGAATGTTAGCAAATACCAACAGCAACCATCCGGTGGCAAGGTTGTTAGTAGTTTCCTCTTTCGTGGGCTATTTGGAAGCAAGCGGGTGGCCGGTTTGACTCCTTAATGTGTGAATATACAAATTTACGTCAGAAACGGATTCGAACCCTCGACCAGTGGCAAGGTGCGATATGCGCAGTTGAGGAAGACGACAGGAGTGGATCTCACACCCCAGGAACGTTGTTGGCATCCCATACTGATTCCAGTTTTTGAGTAGTCTTATCTGTTCGGAGCCTACTGTTATCTAGTCCGGTACGGCGTATTTGCAGCGGAATTACTGGAACTTTAAATTGTTGGAATTGCCCGGGAGGCGCTGGAACTTTGGAGCTCGCTCATAGGAGTGACATGCAGTTTTGAGGAAACGAAACCTCCCAATGAAATACCTGCGAGGCAAGCTGAAAGTGGAACGTGAAATTGGCCCGCCAGAGCGCTTAAAGGAGGAAATATGAGATTAAGGGAGGTGTGTAGTTGCAGCTTTCGAACAATATAAGTTTAAGGGCGCTACTGCATCTTGCTTTTGACACCCTCATCGATAAATTTATATCGAATGTTGGGTTTGTATACATTCAGAAGCGTTCCATTTGGCAGTGTATTAAAGAATTTTAATGGATTTTAGTGAAAAATTCTGGATTTTTTATTTGATTTAGCACAGGTTCCGCATTGAAGGCTTTTCCGTTTGCATCCGATTAACACATTTTCAGACTCGCTTTGATAACCTTCGTGAGCCTGAAAATTTGTTGAACATTCATCTAAATGTTGTTGTGCCTTCGTACGCAGCTGAATAAATGTTCGCTTATTTCTTAATGCAGTTTTACGTAAATCAAAACGCATTATGACTGAGCTTATGCCGTTATATACCTCTCTTTCCGGTTTATCAGGTTCCTGAACTGTGAAATTTATGAGTTGAAATCCCGTTGCGATAGGGGGGTAAGAAAGCAGGGTGGGGATGACGAACTATGTCTCCTGGCCTAGCGACTTTCCAAGGTCAGGCTGATATTACTATACCAGGGCGGAAATTGCTGCATTTGGAAATTTGCTAGGCCTTGGCTTCAAATGATGGCGTCAGTGCATCCTGACTCAGTGCATTCGTCCGCTTCCTTCTCCCTTCTTCATGCACAAGAGAGCAGATGGTGCATGAAGAAGGGGGGTGGACGACGATGGAGCCCTGATGCTTCACGTACATTGCATAAATTGGAACACCATCTTGACGGGGTGTAGTCGTCTTACGTGTTAGAAGAGCGCATTTCTTGCGCCTGTTGTGAATACGTCGGTAGTACGGTCAGCCTGTATTTTAACTCTTTTTGTGCTTAATTTGAAGGGGACTAAGCCGATTTTCTGCAGAGTTGCTTCATGATCATTTGTATCTGTACTTACAATTGCACGTATAGCTGATTATTGCAGAATGTCTGTTCTAAATGGTAGGCTGAGTCCGCGCGAGTCGGCGAAATACGTTGTTACGAATTCGAGCGGCCAAATAAAATTGTCTGAGGAAGGAGTGCAAAAAGCAGCCAGGCTTGTTCGTATTTTATTAATGTGAAATGCGTGGTGGCGGTTGTCTTTCAGTATGAACAAGTAGTGAGGAACGCGCCGACTTGGCCGAGAATGTAAGAGCATGCATCTGAACGGACCTTTGGATCTGAAAGCGCTTGAATTGAGAGTCAGATTCATAAAAAACAGCATATTGCTTCTAAAATATTGCTCTAGTTCGAAAAAGGCCGTCTACTTCGGTCAGTAGCGGTTTTACACGCATAACGGGCCAGTTTTATATCATGGCTGTAATTAAGAGAAATTGAATTACCTGAAAGATTGGTGTTGTAGATGCTGGATGCGATTCGCAGTGGCGCTTACTCAGAACATTCATATTCCGCGATTGATGTCCATCCACAGAATGCCGATCGCTCTGCTGTTGACTGGTAATTTTGTTCGATGCTGCATGTAAAGTTGTCGGAAAAGTGCTACTTTTGGC